TGTTTATTACATGATAAGTTAATGTAATAAATAAATTCATAAATACAAAGAAAACCTTCTAACCTTAAAGCCTTCACATAACTGGAAGTTCCCTTTTTCTTCTTGGCTTTCTTTGACTTCAAATTCATAACATGCACCATCATCATCATTGTTATTGTCATCATCACTATTATCGTCATCATCACTATTATCACCATTATTATCATAGCCATCATCTCTTTCATTTCTTATTTCCCATTCAAAAGACTTTAAATCATTGTTACTCATTAAACATATCTGGTGATCAGTCAGTTTTGTGAGATACCTATAAATGTAATTTTTTAGTCATTTATTATAATATGATACAATGAGCAATTGGTATTAGAACAAAAATCTGTTATACTGAAAATTAATTAGTAAATCTGTAATCCATTAAATCAAGACTATTGTAGCCACTAATACTAAATCAAGATCCACTAAATTGAAACTCACATGTAAAAACTTTAAAAAGTTTATATTTACCTGTGAAAGTTAACCATACTTTTTTTAAGATGATCAGTTGCATTCTCTTCATAACAACCAGGCTCAGACCAATGAATTACTAAACCAAGATTAGCATTCACAATCAACAAATAGATTCCTGAATGAAGAGAAGGACTTTCAGTTTTATTTGAAGATACAAGCAAATCATACCTAAATAGATAAATTTGTTAATCATGAACAATAAAAATAATGGATGAAGAATTAATTCAATTTACACTTTTTGGTTAATAATTTTTTTAATTAATAGTAGCTTTGCAATCAATTCAGAGTTCCCATAGCAGCCAACAAGATTGAATGAGACTCTATTCAATTTTTTATAATTAATGTTTGAAACAGACTTAAAACTTTTGGGAACCAATTCATTACAAAGCTTTTCTAATGATTCCTTTGATATGATTATTTTGTTAACTAAAAAAATAAATTATAGCAATAAATATCACATGATATTGACAAGTCACATTATTAATCCCTATGAATAATTAAGATACATACCAAGACCATTTGATCCTTTGTATTTTTTTAGATCTAACAATAGATACAATCCAGGAATACAATCTAAAAGATCTTGTTCCTTTTTAATATCCTTGTTCAAATTAGCATATAAATTTTCACGTTTTGAAAATATCTCTAAAACTTTTTCCTTGTTTTTTTTATGATCATCTGATACCATATTATCTGATGTTCTAGTATTGGTGGATGATTTAATGGGCTCGGTCACAATTACCAAACTTTCAGTATCAAAACTAAGGTTTTTTGAAGCAGTGCTTTTTTTGATAAAAGGACCAGATGATTCATCCAAATTTTTAGATTCTGAATTATCGCACATTGTTTCGCCTTTGTTGAAAGAGCTTGTATTGTTAGTTTTCTGAATCACCAATAGTAAGTATCCTATTTGGTTAAATGGTCATGAAATAAAGAATTAATCAATTCTTTAAATATCTCTCGTGAAAAGTCCCATTCTTTCCAAATTAAGAAAAGATGATCGGCAACTACATTAATTAGGAGTGTTTGGATATGAAATTCTGATTGGCTGATTTGAATTTCACATATTAATATTAATATAAATACGTCCAAGATAAACAATTCGTCAAAGAAAGAAAATTATCATCACATGTTGAAAAGAAGTCACCTCAGTAAGTTTTATTAAAGTAACAAACAACAAATCATTATGTTGCCTTGCTGTATTATGAGTTTGAATATTAGATTGTTTATTATTTATGTAGCTGTTAGAAATTAATGCTAACGACATTAAATTCCGTTTTTTTTTTGTTGCTCTTAGAGAATCATCATTAACAGCAATGGCAACAAATAACCAACAACAGTCTTCTTATCACTACTATTACCACAATCACAAGCAAGTAAATGATATTCTCTTTGGATGGGTGATGATGACTGTTTTTAATGAACCTGGATTTTTAGTGTTGATCCAATTTCCACCCACAAGAGCAAGAATGGACAATTAAGAAATAAAACATAAAATTGAGTAAACCGGTATAGTTTTGGAAAGTTAAAAAGCACATAAAACAAAAAACCAAAAGTTAGCCATGCCAAACATTCCCTCAAATATAATTCAAAAGTTACCTTCAGTTTTATAAGAAACAATTTCTGTCATCATTGCCAGGATCAAACCCAACACATTGGCGATTTTCTATCCCAATGGCCAACTCTAAAAGCACCTTCACAATCTTCTTAAATTTTGGGTATCTGGATACGAAATCCTGATTGGCTAATTTCACGCGTGTATGGCATATCAGCCGATTTGGTTTTTTGGGCCTTTTTTCAAACCTTATGTCTTATTGTGTCTCGATGTTAAACACGAGTAT